GCGTCGCCACAGCGTCAGGCATGATCTCGGGGCACGCAGCCCACAGCGCAGTGCTGCTCTCGATGTCAGTGAACACAAGCGTCACGGGTTCTCCCGAGTTCTTTGGAGCATTGCCGTTGTCACGGGCGTCGCGGCGGCTGAACCGCCAGAGCAGCAGGACCACTGCAAGAGCAATCAGGACAGATCCACCAACACAGCCACAGATCAAGCCCACCAAAGCAGCGCCATGGAGTCTTATCCCCCCTGGTTCATGGTACACCATAGACGGCGTTACCCGCGACAGAAGAGGCTTTTGCGAGGGGTCTGCGACGCGCGCAAATGTCCACACCGACATGAGTGTTGCACCGTAGTTCACCATGCACCGGCTGCAGATATCCTTCACCTTGCTGCACCCAGTCTCGTCTGCATACGGACCATACAGCATGCCGTTTACGGAGATCGACGATCCGGAGAAGAACGCACCGCTAATGGACTCCGGTGTCACATGATGCAACTGTTTCACTATTTGCTGCACAACTTGCGTTATCAGAAACCCCCAAAAGGCAAGCGGAGTCCGCTGTGTNGATTCTGGCACCGCTGCGTGGAAGTCCTTCACGCTGGGAGACATGGTCTTGGTGTCCGCCCAGTGGGAGAAACTCGTCGCAAAGATCACGCGCTGTGCAATAGCCTTGCCTCCAAAATGTTGCACGAACGTTGGGTACAACACAGCCATCTCCTTGAATGAAACGAGGACTCGCACACCGATAGCCGCCTCAAGATGCCGTGCTATGCCAGCGACGTCATCCTGCTTGATGCCAGAAACAAAGACGTCGCCGTCCGGCGGAAGCCGGCCATCCATAGTCTCACCATTGTGCAACGTCACAGTGGACTTGAGGGAGGCGCCGAACGTCACAAGTGAGCGCCTCAATACATCAGCTACATCCGACGCCTGGCTTCCACGGATGACGGCATAAACACCGGACACACGCGTCGTGCTGAACAGCTGAGCGAGTACGAAAAATTCTTGCTCCAGCGTTGGTGCAAGGTGAATCACGTTGCGTTGGAATTTTGTCGGCCGTGGCTCCGGAAACATGGGGTCAATGAACGTGATGTTCGGCACGCCCAGCACAGAGTCCAGAACGGGTCCAAACACGAATGTTGTAACCTCAGACATCACAGTTTCTCGAAGTTTCTTCTCGGCGCTCTTCACAGTGGTCAGCAGCCGCTTCAGCGTGAAATCACGTTTCGCCCGCGTAAAGGGTTCCACCGCTGCATGGGTACCGAACTCCAACATGTCCGCAGTGTAGTGTCCAGCCTCTCTGTCCTTCATCACAAGCAGCGCGGCGTTGCTGGGAGCCATCATTTCATACGAGGTGGTGTAGCATGCCTCCTGGCCGTATGAGTACTGCCCCTCCAGTACAACCTCCGCGCGGTACCCATCCACGATGCGCTTAAAGAAGACGGCGTTTCCGCCCTGGTTGCATTCACACTTCATACCCTGCGCCCTCATTGTTTCACTGCAGTTGCCGCCATAGTCACCGATGACGATATCATTGATGACGTAGCGCCGCTGGTTAAAAAGAGAAGCCATGAATACAGTCTTGTCTGACAGCCATTTAGGGTTGCTTAATGCCTGCAAAATTACGTGGCCAGCAATCCACCCGTTCACCATCAGTTCCCCATCGTCGTCGTTTTCAAGAAACTGTTTGTTGTTGTTGTAGATCGCATTGCCTTCGTCAGAGAGGTATCTCTTCATTTCCTTTTGAAACTGGTTAATCGCCTCCATGTGTGTGTCCGTCGCCAGCGGGTTCGTGCTAGTAGTAATAAGCTGACCAGGCACGAGCGTATATCGCTTACTTTCCACAGCGGTCTTACACGCAGAGGTGAGGGTCTTTTGGATGACAGCGGGCCCTAGGAGATAAGCGCCAGAGGTCCGATTGTCGGTGAGCATGCGGGAGACAAACTTCGCTGTCCTCGGTGACGGTCTGCCAAACACGATCACCGCCTGGTGGTGTGCCGCGGCGAAGTCATCAAAGGCAGCATCGAAACGCTGATCGGCGCCGCTACTGTTGTCCTCAAAGGGGGCCTCGAACACTCCACTCAGTTCGTAGCCCATCCCATTCATACGCCTCATCGCTTCCTTGTATTCCTCATCACCAAACGACACACCTGTCAGGTACATGAACCCTAACCGACGCACGCGTAGATTTGAAACAGCATAGCGAACCAGTGCAAGCACCTCCGTTGCCCAGTCGGCCTGTGTGAAGTACAGGTTCTCGTCCCAGTAGCGCAGCCGGCCTGAGCCTGTGAAGGGAGCAATCGCCACCAGTTTGTTCTTTCGTAGTGCGGGCAGTGCGCTGGCCAATTGAGGGGCCGTCAGAGGGCCCACCACGAACAAGATGTCCGAGTGATTTGACAACGACTTTTCAATTACGGTACTCACGTCTTCCGACCATTCAGACTGGTTGACGGGCAGCAAAGTAAATTCGACTTCATTCGAAGAACTCGAGCTGCGCGAATGTAGAGCAGCCTTAATGCCAGCGTTAATCGCAGTAACATAACTCAGCGAAGGACCCTCACTGGAGTGATACAGGTTGAGTGCCTTGACTTTGGTTTTGTCCTGCGCCTCCACGACGTTCAGGACAAGAGCGAAGAGCACCGCCAGACGTAAGCAGCCCATCCCTTGCTGCCTTCGTATTTTGTGTAGGATCGATGGATGTATTGTAGACCTCTCGGCGAAGAGGTGCCAGAACCCCAAATGACAAAAAAAAATCAAGAAGGGCGCATGCAGCCATGGGAGTCGCAATACCAAGAGGCAATTCCACCCAACTCTTTCGTACCCCAACATAAGTATCATAAAAGAACAGGAAAATAAATACGGGCCCCCACCATTATAAAAAAAGATTCATCTGCGGCTAGCAGAATCGCACTTGTCTGAAATTAGGTCACCATGACACCAAACGACCATGCAACTTCAGCAACTTTAATTCCTTTTAAGTCCACCTTGTTACCCCCTCTGTTGCCACCAAGAGGTTTCGATCGACTCGTGTTGCTGAACTGTGTGGGTACCCTACCAAGCAGCACGAAGGCTCGTACTATTTATCATACTTCACTCGAAATACTGGTGGTCAAAGCTATACAAAGAATCCGTCTCATGTAAACAGACTTATTGGCCCGCACCGTCCCACACCTTACCGACAAGTCTATTAGCATTTCGAAGATGACAATGGCATTCCCCCCCCCAAAAAAAAAACATTCCCCACGCGATCCCCGCACTAAACTAAAGCACGGACGATAGAAAGAAACATCCAACAAAGCACAAAGCTCGCCATAAACAAGACCAATCAACCGCTCCGACTGCACTACAAGACGAATCGATAACATATCAACAGGCAACGATTGTGGCATTGCACCTGACGCCACCAGTAAACTCCCCCCACGGAACCACGCACCCCGCTAAAGGAAAATAAACAGCTGCAGCACCGAAATAGCACCAAAAAAAGTGAAGGCGGCGGCACCAATGGGCCAATGGAGCGCGACAGCGACCACACAGCAATGGAAGTAGCACCGTAGTTCACCAGGCAGCCACCTGGCACCACATTGCTGCACCTCGCGGGGTCCGACCTGGCGAACGGGCCGTACACCATGTCATCCACTGTCAAAACTAAGCGCGAGTATATCGTCTCTTCAAACAGTTCGGCGGTGACCGCATCCATCACGACCCCAAACGCCATTATAGCAAGAAAGGGACTGATACCCATCAGGCACAGAAGATAAGTTTTAAAAAACGTGTTCCCACCACCGGGTGGGTGGGGGGTGCCGCGCATCGTGCAGAACTCGTGGGGGCTGTCACGCCACCAGCGCACATCACTGAAGGCCGTCTTGTGTCTTGTCTCCTGCAGCA